ATCCTTGAGGAGAACGTACAACAAATGCGGCTCTGACTTGGTCAACAGGTGCAGTTTCTCCAGCCCCAAAAAGAACTCTCCCCACAACTTGCCGAATCCCTCCTTGTAGTCCGTCCAGTTCCGGTCAAAGTTCTCGCTTCCATCGCTCCGATTTAGAATATAAATCCATCCTTGGCCATCACATGGCACGGCGAAAGGCTTTGACCCGTTCATCCTTAGTTCGAAAATGCCTGCGGGAGCAACAAACTTATGCCAGGGACAACTGTATTTTGTAAATTTCAGTGTTATAATTTCATTTCGTTATTATTATTATTTTTTAATTACTTTGCTGTCTCTCCTGTGGCAATCCGTAACTGCTCTCTAATTACTAGCAATAATATCACGAAAGCACACGCTTTCATCGCGAATGGTTCCGCTGCCAAATGTTAACTAAATTTATTTTAAAGAGGGAAACGTATTTTATACATTTAAATACCCTTACAAGGTATACTAATTTAAGTCAGAAACATGTAACGATGTGAAGGAATCATTTCCGACCCTATAAATCATGTATATTCTTGATCAGCATCAAAGCCGAGTCGATCTAGCTACGACCGAGCAAAATTTTATTTTTTCATAAATTTTAAAATTTTATAAGGGGTTACATCGTTAAAAATTTTAAAAGTTGATCAAAATGTTGATATTTTTTACATTTTAAATCGAGTATGCAGATTTATTTAACTGCAAAAGACTAACACAGGACAGCTTTTCGAATAACAATTAATGCATCTTTGGCTTAGTTATGATATTTACAAAATTTTGATTTGCCTAAAAATTTTCCTATAAAAATATTGATAAATATTGATTACAAAAATTCGAATACTATCAGCTTAGTTTTAATTGATTTTTGATTCAATCGTAAAGCTTAATTCCAAGGGTATTTTGTCTTCCATAAATTGATGTGTTAAATTATTTTATATGTTCACCTGAAAATATAATATTACGAAGCAGATTATTGTTTTGAAGATTAATCTGAGACCATTCCATATATATTTTTGATAAGTTATGAGTCATTCTCTGCAAATTTGACTTCTTTATTAAATGAAATACTTATTTTCCGATTGAAGTATAAGAAATGTTTACTTATATGTATATTAAACATAACGGAGATTATTATGTGAATTCACCTAAAATTATTAACCACTTTTTCATGAATTTCAGTAATAAGTACATAGATATTATAAATTATAAAAATTACAGTAAATTATACATATATTATATAAAAAAATTATAATAGCATTTTAAAACGAATCTTTTTAATATCAATAGTATTTGCGGACACAAACAAATTAAAAGCGTTTCTAAAATATAACAGAGAAATGTATTTTATATATTTGTAAATTATTTTTGATCGAATTTTGTATTTATTAATTAATCAATGGAGAAAAGAGTTTATTGAAAAAGTGAAGCAATATACCAGAATTTTTACTGCCAAAATTGGCTAACCTTCTGCAGGTTACTACGTTTGCCTTGATGAGGTCTTTAGAATGTGGAAGAGTAAATAATAACAAATTAAGAAAAGTCTTTGAAAGACCACCCTTGTCTCAGTCGGGGGAAAAACATATGCTCTGGCTAATCCTGGGCGGTTAAGTAACCCCTTGCCGTGGCCTTGGGCTGCAACTGGGACCACGACACTTAACCCCCTTTAACCGCCATTCCTTAGAGTGTTTATTTGCTGTTGGTTGCCTTTTAATTGACGGAAAGAAAGGGGCATGTGCCATCTGCCGGCGGAAAACCCATTCCCCGTACCATTCCCCTTACCATTTTACCCGATCCAGATCAAAATCTAGAAATCTGTGCTGTTTTTTGTGCCCTTTGGCACTGTATCTGAGGTTCGATCTGTCTATTTGCTGGTCGGTTATTTAGTTGGTTGGATTGTCGGATTGAATTGTTTTGTGGGTTCTCCAAGGGAGTTCCCCCGTTTGGTAATCGCCTGCTATTAATTCATTGTCTATTATCAAGAATTTCCATGCCTGACATTGTATGCATTTTGTGCCGCCACTCGAGGAGCATATGCATGTTCCTTCCCGCTGCCCTTTGCCCTCCATTCTCTATTCTCGATTTGGATCCTGTTTTTGCTCCTGTTTCCGCTAGTTGACAGTGATGCCAGCTTTGTCTTTATATTTATTTTGTAAGTTTAATAAATTTGAGAATAATGGGAAATAAATAGCAAATATGACACATTCTGTATTCTTACTACGTATCTCTTTAGTGGTGTAGAGTTTTTCCTTTTCTAGCATACAAATTATTTGAAAATAGAAATATATGTTCAAAAATTACTATAATACATAATTTTATTCGATGTAACCCTCTACAATTTCAGTATTCGTATTAACTTAAAAACACTTGTTGCATGTTAACTGGAATTGTTGCCGCTAAGACCTCTGGTACACATTAATTACTATTTAAATGCTGCTTAAATGCTCGTTAAGCAATCTGTAATATGACAAGTTTTTAAGGAAGGATGTGTCTTTTTGGATATGCCTTTTGTAAATACCTTCAAGTTTCCCTAAATCACCATAGAATTGGCTCATATTCTTGTAGGTTGTCTGTCCACTTCTAATCAATGTCGTTTGATCTGTTTATGTATCTTTCATAATTATCAAGTGCTTCTTTATATAGTAGCATCGTTCCACTCCTAGTCCAAGTCCTTTGAATTATTCACGCTACCTTTCCGAGAATTTTAATGCTTTGAATTGTGTGTTTTAATAATCATTGATTTTAATACTGCTTTCTGAAAACCTCTTACTGATAAGAGTGTTCTTTAATTTTGTTCATTTTTAATAACGATGAAAGACCAAAAGTGTTTCTATGTATATATATAAAATCATATATAATATATAAATGATAAGACAAGAAAACAAGGTTAAAGCTACTTGCACTTTGATAAGTTTCTTTTATGATAAAACTATTAACAAAATAATAGTAATTACAAAAGCTCGATAAAATCTTCACCTTATCCCTAAAAAAATAAAGCCAAGCCAGCATCTCAGCTGTTTGGCGATACTCCAGCTCCATTGTTCGGGGCCATAACTACTCTCTAACTGGTCCTGGGCCGCTGTTACTCTAAGATATTATCGACAGCTCGTCCTGCTGACTGACTGGCTCACCAGTGTCCTCGCCACTACCCTCGCCCTGGCCCTCGTCCTCTCTTTGTCCTTTGGCCATTGTCCACTCGAGTTGCGCTATCCTCCTCCATCCACTGGCCTGTGCCATCGGTATCCTTGCCTGGCCCACCGGCATTGTTGTGTGTCCTGACAATGGTACATAGAACGGGCCATTGTTCCGGGGGCTCGAGTCCACATAAATACATAAGGGCACAGGGCACAGATCCCGGGCACTGGCTCTGGCTCACATCCGGCACACATCCTGGACACATCCTTGCTGTTGCTGTTGACTTTTCGAGTTTGGCAAAGGCGCACAATGCACAAATTGATATCCAATAATTTAATTCTGTTATCCATTCAGTCTCATGTTGGAAAATAGTTTTGTAATTTGCACTCGGCATGCGTGTAACCGATATTATTGTGGCCGTGCTCCTTGTACCTCGTCCCTTGACCCTTCTCCCACTCCGGCTGGACTTTGGGCCATTGTAAAATGTTCCATGGGGAATGTGCCGGTCATGTGTGGGCATTAGTTTTATTATAATTTTGTTTATATCGTGTCGTGTGTCCGGCAAAACAAAAACAATGACAAGAGCCGGGGGATCCGTTTGGGCGAAAAAGGATTTCACACTCGGCAGGAATAGTTTGTTTCGTCCAAATATAGTGGCAAATAGATAATGACGCTGCGGATTAACGCTTCGCATTATTATACTTATCGTCCTTTGTGCGATGACCAGTTTTTCGGGAATTTTGCGGTTGTGGGTGGCCTTTATAATTGGTCCTGCGATTCGTATTTTGGGTTGGGTTTGTTGCGAGTCCTTTTGTTCTCCTCTCACGGATATAAATTACGTGCTGTGCGAATTAAATATTTATTTAGCTATCCCTGATGCCCACACAATAGCGAGTTTTCAATTAAAATTTTTATTAATTCTGGTGATTAGGGACAAATAGAGTAGAAAATTATTGATTGATTTTATTTGAGGGGGGGTTAAAATGTAAAAATGAAATAAATATAAGACAATTTACTGGTTTGACTTACTTTTATGAGGTCCAAGTGTGGGAAATGAATTTACATTTAAAAGTAGTTAAGTTAACCTTTTTATTTATATTTTAGGGTACTGTAAATTATTACCATCAAGAAGTATATTAAGCAAAAGTTTAAAAAGTATTTCCTAAACCAATTAATAAAGAAACTTGTTTAAAAATAAAAATTTAACATATTGTTTCCTTGAAACTCTCCATATTCCCCCAACCAAAATAAACAATTTGTTGTTAAATTTTCTTCATTTTACTTTTATTAAATTATTTTGTAGATTTATTAAATACTTTAACACAGTGTTTGAAATGTATTTTTTATCTAATACATAATATGATAGTTAATATATAATTTTATATGGTTTATATGGTACACACGGATATCTCAATTAGGTAATCTCATCGTCTATATATAATATTAATTTCAGCTAAACAAATACATTTTATGGCTCTTATAACTGGGATCAAGTGATTCTCTTAGTTTATGATTTATTAATACGACTTCTATGTTACAATACTTGTTCTAAGAGTTTAAAGGGTAAACTATAATTTACACTTAGTTTTTAGGCATATCTAGGACAAATCGAGATGTGATGCTGGAGGGGAAAGTTAATTTAAATTACACCAAAACATAGTTAATTCTTCTTGGGATAATATTTTCAACATTTTTCAAAGGACATTACAGTCTAGAATTAATTAGATTATCAGAACGGATTCACATCCCCTCCCAGCTTAGGTTTGTGGATTTATGATTTGGCATTCGGGAAAATCCTACTCGAAAGGCCGGAAGACGGCGGCGCCGTTGGCCTCCGGTTCGCTGCCTCAATCCTGGGAGTCCCCAGCATTGCTGCTGCGATCCAGCCCAATGCCTCCGGCTCCATTCGACTCCGACTGCTCAATGTCCGCCGCACTGAGGACGCCGGGCAGGTAGCCCGTGCCGGCATAGGGAGCGGACAGGAACCGCTTGGCATGGGCCTGCATGAAGGGATGGTAGCGGTGCGTGGGCGAGCCAAAGACCGAGGGCGGCACCAGCGGCGAGAAGGCCGACTTCATGGGGAAGGGCGGCGAGGGCGGCACCTGCGGCGGCGTTGGCGTCTGGCCCAGATCCTCGCCAGCCAGCATGCACTCCATGGCCTGGAGGACATCGCCGCGGAAGCGCTGCATCAGCTGCTCCACGTCGCTGCGCCGTCGGTTGGGGAAGACCCGCATCAGGACATCGATGGGGGATCTCTGCTGCTGCAGGTTCTGCGGATGCTGCGGCAGATTAGGCGGCTGCTCCGGCGGGTGGTGGTGAGCTGGTAGTCCGGCGGCGGCCAGGAACTGTGTGTGGTGATAGGGCAGGAAGCCCTGGCCATGACTGCTGCCAAAGGAGCGCAGCAAGTGAAGGTTCTCGGCGGGCGTGTTGGGTGGACTCTGGCTGTCCTCCTTCTTCAGGCTAAGGTTCTCCGGCGTGGCCTCGTCCGGCGCCGAGTCCACATCCAGGTCGGACTCCGGTGAGCTGGGCGGTCCGGTGCGGGCGGGCGACAGGCTGGCGGTTAGATTGAAGAGTCCAGCTACCTTGGGACGTGGACTGCTGGGCGATCCCGATTCAGAGCCAGTGTCCTGGTCGGTTTCGTTGGACAAGGCAGCACCGCGTTTGGAAACTGAAACAAACGAAAGGATTCAATTTAAGGGATAAGTTTATTATGTTACAAAATTATTTACAACGCGAGAAGATAATTTTAAATATCAGTTAGTCCTTAAGGATTAACCCACTTTAATCTTTAGCCTTTCAAAAATCTATTTATCAATTATCCTATTACCAACGAGGCGTATCTGTTTTCTAGATCTGTTAATGTTTTTCCCCACCTATATAAAACCAGGTAGCATAGTGGAAACTGTGCGGTTTTCCACTTGACAGAGTTCAGAGCAAATAAAAGTATCAAATGGTAAAATGGGAAAAATGTAATCACGGGAATCGCAAACATCGAGGAGGATGCGCAGGATACGTTGACATGCCAACGTGGGACAACCTGCTGTTTTTTTATTGTTTGTTCTGAAATGAAACAAGCTATATGATATTTTTGTTCGTTGTTTTCCTTTACCTTCGGCTTTTCTGTTTTTTTTCCTTTTCTGTTTGATTCTGCAGTTGACGAAGCCGCAGTGAAAATTTAATTAAGTTCGAGGGGTGCGTGGATACCAATATATAATATCCAATCGCAGCGGTAACCGAAAATAAAAATTCAAGCGTGAAATCGTCTTGGATTTCATTGCAAATAAAAAGGGAGTACCTTAAATATAGACAGGTTCCGCGACTCTCTCCTCCGATTGATTTGCGTGAGAATTCTTCTGTGTTTTTCTTTCTCGTAAAAAGGAGCTCAAACAAGGCCAAGTGAGCCACCACATGGGAGAGAGTATCTCACGTTTCCTTCTTGTCCAGGAACCCTCAGCTTGGGCTTGTCTTACCCCTGGCAGCAGATAGTCCTAATGACTGCGACCGAGTTGATGTGATGCCGAACAGGTCCTTGATATCCTTCTACCCCCGTCAGACCTTGTAACTGTTTGGCATTTGATTTGTAAAAGAGGGGAGTCGAGTTCTTGTAAGGCATTCTGGTTCCAAATTGATTGGCTTAGTCGGGATAATACACAATAATATTGGATCGGAATAATAACACAATAATATTGGATAATGTTACAATCCCTTGTATTGTTTGCTCTTTGAGTGGGTTTTCTTTTTAAGGGAAAAGAATTTAAAAGATTCTTGTGAGAAACTCTTTGGGTGGGAAATGATCATGATTTTTATAGTGATTTTTTATGTAAAAAATAGTAAAAATAGAAAGAAAAGCCCTTTATGTTATAGTTAAATAATATTTATGGGTTCTTTATCCTTTTTAAAGGGTATTATAATTTTAATCTACAATTCAATTGCAAACTGTAACTTCCCGAAGTTAGATTCCCTTCTTGTATATTATATATTTAATTTCTTCTTTAATAAATCCACACCTTTCTGCATAAAATACTTCTTATTTAAGGACGCCCCAGCCAAGTGCTGACTTCTTAACGAGGACTTTAACATAATTGTTGCAATTTGAACTCGTAAAGGTCCTTCCTGGGTCCTGGTCCTGGTGTTGCCTTCAACTTAATCGCAGCCCCAGGACATTTTCATGCGCGGTTTGGCAAAGTGCTTAGACTGCAACTTGGCTGGCTAAGTCTTTGTCAAAACAACACCTACACCTCACACACACTCCACACACTCTACACACACACTGGCAGCTATGCACATGCAACCGCGAGTGTGGCACTTTATGCACCGTTGATTTCTGAACAATCGAAAACAAATTTTTCTTAACACGCGCTCAACGTACATACATATGTAAGGCCCCCAAGAATCTGAAGTCCTCTTGGGGAGGAGGCCAGGCGAAAAGGGCTTTTTAAGGTGCGGGAAGTGGTGGGAGAAGGTAACCACACAGCAAGAAATACATATATACTTTGGTAAACATAAGGAAATCATTTTAGAAAGAATATTTAATAAGGTTTATTCTTTGTTTATTTACTGCTAAAGTTCTCTAGACATTTCTGAACTCTCCCAAGTTATGACCTAGCTTTTCCCCCCGAAATCCCTCACTTTCTGAATTAAATATAATTTTTCCCTGTGGACAAAATCTACCACAAGTGTTATTTGTTTGTTCAAACTTACCGGGACTCTCGTCCAGCTCGGTTCTCGTGGGCGAAAAGCCAACGCTGAGGTGTTCGGAGCGGGTGCGTCCTTCCGTGTCGGACTCGTTGCCATTGAAGCGCTGCGACTGCTGGGAATGGTGGCCAAGCTGGTGGTGCTGGTGGTGCTGCTGCTGCTGAGGATGTGGCTGCTGGTGGTGGTGGTGCTGGGACTGCTGCTGCTGCTGCTGCTGCGGCTGGTGGTGATTGGGAGTGGAGCTGGCCTCGAAGCCGTCGCTGGGCGGCGAAGGGATACCGCCGTGGAAGACGCCGTTCTGGCCGGAACCTCCATTAGCCGATCCTCCGCTGCCACTGTGATTGGGACTGTGCGGGGTGGGCGTGGCACTATCGCTGTTGCCATTCTGCTGGCCAGGAACCGAGGTGTACAGGAGGCCCAGTTCACGGGCCTCGTTCTCCTCCTGGGCCTGTTGGCGACGCAGGGCGACCTGGAGGAGAGGGAACAAGGAAATTGGAAGATATTTTAGCTCTTAGTAAATGAAAAATTTAACATGATGAGGGATTAGTAGATGGAAATTCATTTAAGCCTAAAGTATATTAGAGAATACTTTATAAGGCATTGGAAATGCTTTTTTAACGATTAGAAAATCTGTATTTGTTTAATTTTATTTGTGAAATATCATTTATAGCTTTTAATTACCAATTTAAATATCTTGGTAATATGAAGAACAAAGTTATATAGAGTTTAGTTTGCTTTTCTCCTAATCAATTAGAAGGTAAAGCCATGAAATCCCTGACATTAAAGGCATAGAAAAATATGCTAATGCAACCTATTCTTAACAATTTTATTTTGCTAAACTTTGTTTAAGAGTTTTTTATTAAGTCCTTCCTTAAATTAATATAAATAATGTGAGAAAAAACCCACCTGAGCTGCCATTACCCGCTGACGTTCCGCAATCAGAGTGCACTTGGCGCAGACACAGTCCCGCCAGCGGCAGTAGCGCTTGTGACCCTTCAAGGCGCTGACCTGCAAACCAGAATCTTGCTTAATAAAAACCCGGATATTGGCCAAGCCCAATCCTCTCCAGACGTACCACTCCATGGTTCCGGCAGCGGGCGCACTTGGGCGTTCTCTGATATCTTTCGGAGGCGGCGCGCAAGAAGAAGGCGGGCGGAAGGGCGCCCAGAACGGGATGCTGCGACATCAGATTCTGCATGTCCACGCCCGACGGCAGACTCATCCTTATAGTTTCTTTAATTAGCTTATTTTTTAACTATTACGAATTGTATTTTGAGAACTCGTGAGTTCTACAATCTCCACACTTGACACCACACTTTAAGTTTTGATTTAGTTGTTTCTTGCTTTTTTGTTTTTCTGATTATTTCTGGGGGATTAGCATTTCATTATAGTTTTATTGTTCAAAGATCTCCCGCACGGACGACATGACACACTGAGGCCTCGGTTGCAACTGATTCAATCTTTTTGGCCGAAAAGCCACAGAGCAGCGCAGCAGCAGCAGCAGTAGCAGCATTTGCGGCGGAGCAGCGGCAGCAGCAGCAGCAATGGCGGCAAGCGGCAACATTTACCAATACAAAGGCCCCTCCGGGCAAATGAGGGTTGAAAGTATACATATATATATGTGTGCATGTACATAGATGTGGGAAAAATAATTCAGAGAGTGTTGCAACCACCTTTGTGTGGCACAGCAGCTGCCTGCCTGCCTGCGTCGGCGTAGGCAGCAGCATCAAGCGTTGGCTGAGACAGCAACACAGCGACAGCGACGGCGACGGCGACGCAGACAGAGGCTGGCAATTAAGAAAAAAGTTTCAAAATCTAATTTTGGGTACTGTATACAAAATTGTGCACTCGAGGCGGCGACGGCGGCGGCGACGGCAACGCGGCGTATACGCAATGTCATGCCTTTTGGCAGGGTTGGCATTGCTGGTATTGGTGGTTGCTTCGTCGCGTTTCTTTCATTTTCTTTCTGTTGCCTTTGTTTCACAGTTGCCCCTGAGTGTGTGCGTGTGTGTGTGTGTGTGTGCTGGTGAGAGAGCTTTTGCTGAGGGGCTGCCCTCCCCCTGCCTTTAATGGCTTTGGCCAACCAAAAAGCGTTGTTGTTGCGACCTCGCCTCTGGTTGGCATGGCTTCCTCGGTGGCCGAAACAAAAAAAAACAAACAAAAAAAGCACTCTCGCAACTCTTGTTGCTCTTCGTCGAGTGCCAGCGAGGGGTTAAATGGACCGCCCTCCCTCCATGCCCCACCTGCCCCCTTGTGGCGCCAACTAAAACCCTAAAGTTTCTGGCTTTTTGGCACACTGCCACTTGTCTTTCATTTCCAGCTGTCTGGATGGAGTGTGTGCTAAAATCTCCATGAATAAAATCCAACGAGTGCTGATGGAACACAAAATAATTGTTTTTGTTGTGCATAATACTTTGAATTGTCTTTGAGGATGATTTTAGGGCACTTGGGGAGGATAATTTTAATTACCTTTACTTGTAATTATAGTTTTAATTTGAGAACTTGTGGCTCTTTAATTGCAAAATTGATATTAAAACTCCTTTTTTCTGTTTTTCATTTCTAATAACCAACAAAATGATATCACAAAACTGAAAGATTATTATGTATTGTTTGTCTTAATTACTTAAATAATCTTATAGTCGTGTTAAATATTATATTATATTATTAAATTTTATATAGCTGTTATGTATATGCTTTTAGAGCCTTCTTTTTAGAACTGATATTGTTTTGAAAAACAAACAAATCTGGATAGAAATATTTTAAGTAAAAGCATTTAGGAAATCTATGTCTCTGAGGTTGAGTTGCTTTTTATATGTTACAAACATAAATCGTAATAAGTATTTAAGACGGTATCTTTAAATTAAATATTTATAAATTAAAAAATATATTGAAGCTTAAATTCACCAACTAAAATGTTTTTTGCCATACTTACAATTTCCTAATTTAATGTCTCTGTCTTTTATTAATTACCTTGAAGCTTACCTTAATTTGGCCTTTAAAAGTTTTAATAAAATGAATAACAAAGGTATATAAATTCAATAATTTCACCTAGGGGTGTGAGCTTCATAAATATGCAATAAAAATAACGAATTCTGGTTGCATAACCAATCAGATACATAATGATATATAAAACACACTGGCTTGCCTTTTTTTTTTAATATAATTTTATCCTTTGGGTGGTGGGTGGCAGCTGGAAGTTGGCCTATTAGAATGTTACAAATTTATTGCAATTGAAACAAACCGTGGACACGGGGGCTCCTTCCAGCGAGCGTGCGACTGAGGCGGCAACAGTGCGCGCGTCTACGCTCTCTCTCCCTCTTGCTCATTAGTGAATTTCTCTCAGAGAAACCCTCTCTCTTTCTCTCTCTCGCTCTGAAGAGACTCCGCCCCTTGAAGGAGGCGGAGCCAGGCACCTCTTTCTCTCTCACAGACACACACGCACAGCAGAGAGTAGAACATAAAGCGGCAACAATGTTGTACAAGTTTTGGGCCAAAAGAAACAAGTTTCCAGTCTGTCTGTGTCTGTGCAGGTCCTTAGGGCTCACACAGACACACACGCACACACTCAGAGAGAGAGAGAGAGAGAGAGACCAGCTAGGGGGCAGTTCCAGATCCGCTGACGTCGACCGCCACAGTCGTTGGCAACAGTAAATGGCCAGGAGCTGGGAACTGGGAGCTGGGAACTGGGAGCAGCCTAGGAGCCAGCTCAAAGCTACTGCTCGCAGCTACTGGTGTTTTTGCGCAGGGCCAATTTCTCGCATTTTAACTTTGTTTAAAGTGCGCCTCTATATGTACACGAACATATACTCACCGGGGGGAGGGGAAGGGAGGGGAGGGGAGGGGAGGGGACAGTGCTCCCCCTTGGGTGGCCACTTATAAAGTGTTTTTACTGCGACCAAATATGCAAATTAGTTGAGCAGCACTGAAGCTGACAACTTCGACTGCTCTGCGGCCTGTGTACACAGAGAGGAAAGTTGGGGAACTTGCAATAAAATATAGGTACAATAAATGTTAATATTAAAGTAATTTAAAAGATAAGGTAGGGGAGAGGCCCTTGGAAATGAAGAATTCATGGGTTATGGCAGCAAGGATTGCCTTTACACATAACAAAATACAGGTACTAGGAACAAATATTGAGAAGAAACTTCCAATACGATACATCATATCGTAAACTTTAATAAATATAATTTGGTATATCGAATAATATAAATTTTAAAATATTTATATTATCTAAAATATTAGAAAAACGTTCCAAAACTGCAATTGCCTCGTTTTCAGATTATATTCCGATCTGGAATAACAATTGGAATGTAGTATCAATATACCGTTTATTTTCTAATTTGATTTCAAACAATTCTTTTTTAATTTTAAATTAAATAAATTAATTAAATACTAAATTAAAATTAATTAATTAAATTTATTAAACTTAACTAATAAAGCAATAATTCACTGTGTGCCTGCAACAACAAAAGCTGAAACATGTCCATTATGTCGTCGCTTTGGCTGCCTCTCTTCACGCTTGAACTGCCCCCCGGGAAAGGAGAGGGAGGGGGTTGGGGGTTGTTGGGGAGGAGGGGCAGCCCTGTGGAAAAGGGTGGAGGAGTGGCGGCGGTCCAATACAAACAATATAAGGCGCACACACACACACATAACAATAATAATCAACAGCCAAGGCAACATGCGCAGCATGGCAACAACAATGGAAATGGAATGAAATCAACAAAATACAATCGTAGCCAGAAATGGAAATCAATCAAAAGAGATACGAGGAATTATAAATGCTCTATGAAAGGGAAGTACTTTGTATATTCATTAAAAGCCGACCGGTTTCAAAAAGGATACTCAAAGGAGAAGCGGTTAACGGGTACACATTTGCTTTTGTAATAATGAGGATTCTTAAGAAATATCTGAAATACAAAGGTTTTTAGATTACAAGTATTTCAGGGAATTATAATTCTAGTCAGTTGCTTAAAAATATGTGAAAGAGTCATTTCCGACCCTATAAATCATATATATTCTTGATTAGCATCAAAAGCCGAGTCAAATATGATATGTTTGAAAGAAAAAATTTTTTTTTTAAGTTTCAAAAATTATATTAAAAACTCAATTTTTTAATGTTAAATTGAGTATTCTGATTTATTGAACTTCTAAAAACTTACAAAGGAGTGGGGTTTAAATTAAAATTAATGAATTTATGGATTAGTTATGAGATTTTTAAACTTTGATTTTTCAAACAAATTGTCAAATAAAAGTATCAATAAATATGGATTTAAGGAATGCGAATTTTAAGTTTATTAATGATGGATTTCCGATCCTATGATTTAATTTGCAAACTGCATTTAGTATGTAAACTTAGACTTCCAGAAGTTAGTACTTGTGGTGATTACTAATCAGTGCAATACTGAACATTTATATGTATGATATGTATTTTTTTTTATAAATTTTTCAATATTTTATTGAAGGGCCTTACACTTATATTTGAATACTATTTGGCATTATTCATCCCTTAACACAGCACGGGAAGTATGTAAATTGGTTCTAAACATGCTTCTCTTTGGCTTTTAAAAGAAATACTTTGTAGATTTATATAAGGATATAACATCTGCAATTTTTTTTCTCCTTATATAATCAAACTATATATCATATTATTTAAATTTATTTGAACAAGTTGTTAATTATACTTGTTAGACCTGTAATTGGGTGTTTAAAAACCTTCCTCAAGAATACCCTAAGAATGTAGTAATAGACCTTTTGCAATGTCTTAGATTCATCAACTTTAAAGGGTATTCAGTAGTTCTTTTTGTTTTTTTCCACAACATAAAAATCATTAGATCTTGTTAAGAAAAACTGAGATCTTGGACATGAATTGAATGTGTTGACGTCGGTGTAATAAGTAGCCGTTGGCTATGGGATCTCAGTCTCGAGGAAAGTTGAAATACCGCCGGGGATCATCATTCATTGCTACTTTACTTAGCTCGGCCACTTGGCCACTTTTGCTGCTGGTCATCTCGCTGCTCTCCCTGCTGGTCTTTTGATGACTCCCGACTCCGACTCCGTCTCCGTCTCCCAGCCTCGGCTCAAGTGCCCAGCGACTGCTTCTGATTGAGTCAGTTAAAGATGGAAAAGTATAAATGGGAAGGGGAAGGGGATGGGGCTGTACCGGGGGAGACAAAGGAAAAAGTGCCTTTAAAATGTTGACAAATATTTAACATGCAGTGGCCGCAAAATTATTTGATCAAGAAACCACCGAAAAAATGTATACAGAGAAAGATCTTTCCAACAGCGAAAACAAACAGAAAACACACAACGAAATAATGTAAAAATTAAAAACTGAAACTTGAAGACATTGCGGCTAATAAGATTTCCTTGCGTCATTGCCCCATTCATCCGATTCGATGGCGACTTGTGTTTATTTGTTTTGATTTCTTTTCGGGTGCCGCACACGACCCCAAGGGGCAGATGCCTCTGGATCTGTGAGGTCTCTCTCCACATAACATAGTAGCAGAGGCCCAACCTTTGGCAACTTGGAACTGTCAGGAACAGCGGCCTTTGGCTGGATTTTCTGAACAATGCAGGCAGGCGACGGTCGAAAAAAGTTAATTTAATTTCAAGTGTGTGCAACAATTGTCCTGCTCTCCTCCTGCCTTCCAAACTCTCATCCTTTTCATCCTCCACAGAACGGACTCTATAGATACAAACACTCCCCCGTCGTTCTCGGTGCTTTCCTTGCATATTGTTTTACAAATTTCCACTGGCCACGAAGAACGAGAAAATCGCTCCTTCGACTTATCTTTGACGTCAAGAAAATCTCATTAAATAACTTCCTTCCTGCGCTTTCAAGTCCTGCCAGCATCCTGTGACAGTCTCCTCGTCGTCGCAACAAGCTGAAACTTTGAACTCTCATGTATTCGGATTCGTTCAGCGAGCCATGAAATTACATTTTGCTTTTCTTGCGCCGGAAGTGCTCTCTCTCTTTGCCTCTTTCGGGGGCAAGGGAGCAGGTGGAGGAGGCACCAACCGGAAACTCATGGAAACGTGAAATTTTGTTAAAAGTTCAAGGAAACTTTTTGCGGCTGCCATTTTGTTAACTGAAAAAAAATCTCTGGCTGCCTGCAAGAAGTTGCTAGAATTGTATTGTGTCATATGCAGAGTCGGGAACAATTTCTGCTCTTCTTAAAGTTTTTAATTCAAATAAAGAATTGTAAATTAAGTAATACCTGGCATCAGGTTAGTAAAAACCTTGTGAGGCTAGTAAATTAAGTTTTATTAAGTGTCTTGAGAGTAAATATCATTTATTTAGGTGTTGGAAATTACAGGATTATTCTCTAAAAACTACGTTTATAGCAAAGCGAAGTGAGGAATGATTTCAAATTGAGTATTATTCCCATCCTACTTGAAATCAAACTAAAACCCACTGTTTAACGACAAATTCTGTAGTTCTATTTACCAAATTTTAACTGCTAATATATTTTGCCTTGCAAGAATCGCTCTCGAAAAAAGACTCTCATATGACACACGCCAAAAAGGACCAAGAACGAAGGACGTTTGTACCTTCAAATACAAGCATTTCAAAAAAAGCCTCATATCACATTCACTCTCCCATTCCGAGTGCTTCTAAACAGGAAACTCGAATTTCAAACAATTGGCTAAAGGAGCTGACAGTTTATACAATATTGCGAATTCCGGGGCATTGGAACATTTGACACCCGCCACAAGAGATCGTTAACTGCAGTTTTCCAATCCCAGTAACCTGATGCCTCCCTGACTCTTTGACACGCTCTGTCCCCCTGTCCCTCTCCCCTCGGGGTGTTAATATAATTTTCACCTCAACAGCCTCTTGTATATATATTTTGTATAATTTTCCTAATAACCCAACAAAAAAAAGGAGAACGTTGAATGCCGGAGGATAGAAATTGAGAACGAGATGGTATCATGACCATTGTTTGGCATATACTCGTTATAAACACTGTTTCCGATTGCGACAGCCCTCTGTACGCTTTCGTACTCTTCTACCTTGTTATCTAACCCTCATTTAAGGACTCGCCTTCTCTATGTATATAATAATAATAATAGTTTGTGAATGGCAGAGAGCTGGGATGGACGCCCCTTTGAGGCAACTGTTATTAGTTCCCAGCGAACCATCGGATTTGCCGCTTATTTTACAAAACACAGTTGGGATCGAAAAAATAGGTCATGAAAAGTATTAAATGTTCTGTTTTATGTTTTAAAATTTAACATTTAATATATTTAATACATTTAGTATACGCTTTTAGGGTATTATGATTTTATTCCGAAGCTTGAAACGCTGTGAAGGAGTCATTTCCGACCCTACAAATTCTTGATCAGCATTAAAAGCCGAGTCTAGGCATGTCCGGTCAAAAAATAAATTTTCGAAATTTTAAAATTTTACAAGGGGGGGAAATCTTAATTTTTTACATTTTAAATTGACTGTGCAGTTTTATTAAAAAATTTATTATTTTTATTATTCAAAAATGTAACATAGGAGTGATTTCCGAATTAAATTTAATGCATTTTTGGCTTAGTTATGATAGATTTCTGATCCAATAAAAACCTTCAAGGATATACAAACCTTGGCTACAATTCTTTCTCGTTTGCTGCCTTTTCGTTTAAAAATATTTTCCATTTAAGAACGTAAACTTTGAATAGGAAGAGCTCTAAATGAACTAAAATATCCTTAAGAAAACAATATATAAATAGTTTTTATATATTGTTTTCATTCCTATTATTTTGACCACTTCTGTACAAATATACGTATATGGTGCTGAAAATCATCCCGCAGTAATGAAATCTCTCCGTGGCCCCGGGCTGTATTTAATTTTGAACTCGACGGCCAGCTGTGAATTTTATTTGATTTAATTAAACACGATTGCATGGGCTTGCATAATGGCCGTCGAATTGACAGTTGGCCACTTGGATTGCTCCTGAAACTCATCCGTGAATGATGGGTGAAAGCGAGCTGCGATTCGTCTTATCAGCAGAAGGCTATATGGGGCTTATGCCTATGTATTTGGGGTACTCGGAAACCCCAATCAACTGATAAGGGGTCAAGTGCAATGTCATGGCGAAAAGGCAGTTTTTTCACGAACGAAGATACAGTGAAATAATTAAAACGATGTTTAGATTTGAGTATTTTTATGAATTATATATGACATTAACGAAAAAATGTAAATGTATTGCTGATGTTGGGTGTAATATATAATTAATGAATTGTATTATTACTTATTTATCTGTTAAGCTCTCTGTAACATTAGCAAATAAATTAGATTTAAGTGCACCCTAGAAAATACTGTGTACATCTCAATTATTGTATTTGTAAACCCAATTAATTGTTTCCATTAAACCAGGAAATAGCTCCTAACCCAATGGAAAACCTATGAAAGAGATACGGCATCGTCACAGGTGACGATGAATCGTAATCAAAAGTAAATGCTAGATGTAAAGCTCAGTTCAACACACTTCTTACCGTGAATAATCGCGAAAATCTATTCAATAAACAAGTTAATCAGGAAAACAAGTTTCGCGCAGCAAATAGAGCTGAGCAAATGATTCAATTCCAGTCGAAGTCTGGCTTTCATTCCCGACTTATCAGCGGACCGGAGTGCCTTACTCTTATCACTGAACTCTTGACACAGAGAAAGATCTAACGAGAGCACAGCCGATGATCGGAGATCGGCTATAAAGCCAGGCAACCTTCCGGCGGCGACTCAGTCTGGAAAATCAACTCTGTCGCGATCGTGCCTCTATATAGTAATTAAAAAATAATGCTCAAGTATCTGATCGTTGCTCTGGCCCTGTGCGCTGTGGTGTGTATTTATAGAAAGTAAAATAAATGCATTAAATCAGAATTGAATAGCCAAAAACTGCAAGCAAACTAAACATAAAATGATCATAAAAAAGTTTAAAAAGTAGAAACTTATATACATTTTTAATAATGAAAAATATAAGAACATTGAATATTTTAAAACCTTGAAAAAGCAAAAGCCAACATTTTCATGTAAAATTAAATGTTACAATCATTGCTGGCTTATTTATTTAATCTCTTCTTGGGAACTATTGAATAAAATATGAATAACAAATGCTTTCATATAGCGTATTATGCTAATTGGCATTATTCTAAGAATACTGTTCAATAGCTAATAATAGATAGAAACAATTGCAGCAACTTTAAGTACACATATGTATACATTTTTATTTTGCATCATTTGCAACTTTAAACGTGGTTAAACTTTTATAAGGAAATTTTAAGTGTCAGTTTAAAAGTACTAGAATGTTTTGTTAAAGGAAATAATGAGTAAATACATTAATGAATCAAGGCATAAATTAATCAAAACATAAATGTATGATTTAATAAATATTAGTAAAAAAAACAATTGAAGTTAGTAAATGTTTTTTAAATATTGAAATAGAAAGAAAAGATTTTCTTATGCAGGGAATAATATAAAAATACTTATACTTAAAGAGTATAAATAACTTTAATAAAAGCTTCTTTACTAATTTAAAATCAGCTTAGAGAATGGAAAAATCCCTCATCATTCCAAGATAATAATACTTTGAGATTTTAGAAAAACCGAAGTTTGCAATTGCAGCAAATAGTTCAAGTTAACATTGATCATAAGTAAACCAATAATGCATTAATTTTAATATTAATAACCATATACATTAGACCCATGCCGATGGCGAGTGGACACCCAAGTCTGGCGAGGACATCAAGAAGATCCGCGTGGAGTGTCTGAAAGAGCACCCCCTGAGCTCCGATCAGATCCTCCAGCTGAAGCAGCTGATCTTCCCCGATGAGGAGGATGTGCGCCAATACCTTACCTGCACGGCCACCAAGCTGGACATTTTCTGCGAGCACGAGGGCTACCACGCCGACCGCCTGGCCAAGCAATTCAAGATGGACCTGACCGAGGAGGAGGCCCTCCAGATTGCCCAGAGCTGCATCGACAAGAACGAGCAGAAGAGCTCCGTGGACCAGTGGGCGTTCCGGGGACACCAGTGCCTCATGGCCAGCAAGATCGGCGACAAGGTGAAGGCCTTTGTGCGGGCCAAGCAGGAGGAGGCCAACAAGAAGGCGGCTTAGAAACCAACCCTAAAAAGGATCCTGGTTACCAATAAAGTGTGCTGGAATATGCTTGAGTTTATTGTTTTTAGGCTAAGCAGGGCAACAGGATAAAACCACACAAAATACAAGTGCACCGAACTACGACTACTGAGCGTGGGTTTCTAGGGGAGATTCGGTTCCTAGGCATCGCCGCCCTCGGATATGGTCTTCATGGCCGCATTGATGTGCTCCACCAGCGGCAGTTGGCTGTCCAGGGCCGGATTGCGGTATCCCTCGAGGAAGTAGCAGGTCTCGGTGCCGCCAGGATTAGGGAACTCCTTGGGCAGGAACGCAGAATCGCGTGGCTGCAGGTCAAAGTCGAAGCCCTCGTGCTTGGTCAGCCACCTGGAAAGGGTTGAAGTCAGTAGATATTCCTGACTAAATCAAGATTGATTCTTACTCCTTGGTCGTGGGACTAACGTTGATCTTCAGCGCCTCGCTGCCCGACTCAAACTTGTTGGCAATGGTGACGCTGTGCCCGAAGAGGCAATACCTGGGCATCTTCCTGCCCACCACTCCGGCCAGCACAGTGCCTGTGTGCAGGCCAATCCGCATTTTGATTTGCTCTCCGTCGTGGGTGATGTGCTTCGAGCAGGCATCGATCATCTTGAGGGCCATCCAGGCCACCTTGTGGGCGTCGTATATGGAGGCGCGATGGAGGCCACTGGCCACGCAGTAGGCGTCCCCGATGGTCTCCACCTTGTACACGTCGAAGAAGTCGCAGAACTCGTCGAAGTCCTTGTACAGCCCCTCCAGCATGCTGATCACCATGAAGGGCGTGGCCCGCGAACAGATGCTGGTGAAGCCCACGATGTCGCTGAACAGGATCGTGACATCCGGATAGGTCTTGGCGTCGATGGACGAGCCCAGCCAGAGCTTCTCGGCGATCTCAGCGGGAAAGATGAGGTGCAGCAGGCTGACGTTCTTCTTCCGCTCCTTGGTCACCGCCGAATTGGCCTCCTCGATGCTGCTCTTCAGCTTGTCCATTCGCCGGCGTAGCCCGTCCTGTGCCCGAGCCTGCTCTCCCACCAGGATCACCTCGCGGGTGGCATCGTGCAAGGGGATATCCGATATGAAGAGTCCGTTGCAAGTGAGTCCGTCCAGGCCGTCCAGGAATGGTGATCCGATGAAGAGCAGCGAGTTGGACTCCGGGCAGTGCACCATCTGGCCCTTGATCTCCAAGCCGATGGCCGGGAAGTCCGACACGCCGGGCGGACTCATCAAGCCGATCAGGAAGGGCGTGTAGGTGCGCCTGACTATGTCCCGGAACTTCATGGTCAGTCCCTTGGGCCGCTTGAAGTCAAAGTAGGTGCTCGCCTGGCAACCAAAGTCCGCCAGGTACGGCTTGTACAGCTTGCTGAAGCCCCTGCCCAGCTGCACCAGCTCCAGCTGCTCGTTCATGATGAAGTGCCAGGGGAACATCTTGCAGAAGCTCGAGGAGTTCATCTGCAGATCGGAGGCGTTGCTCGAGTTGCTCCGCTGCACCGTCTCCGGTATGGTCTTGCTCACCAGCGTGGGCCGGCCCATCAACATGGTCTGGGCGTTGTCCTTGACAAGCGAGAACAGGTAGCGATAGCGCCGGGCATCGCCCTCCACGGGCTCGATCTTGATGTTCACATCCACCTTGTACAGCATCCGGGTGAGGGCCTTCAGGGAGCCCAGGAGCAGCCATGCGATCACCGGACGCTCAGAGGTGAAGATCAGCTCACCCTCGCCGGCGCACACGAAGCCAGTGTCGGTCACATCCTCCTGGGAACCGGGAGAAACCAATCTTCAGAGGGAAACTCTTGGCAGAGATCAAAGAAAAGGAAACTCACCTCCTGCAACTTGAGCACATCGTAGACCCCATCCAGGGAGCCCAGGAACTCCTGCAGATCCGTGCCCAGGCAGCGGAAGGCCCGCTCAATGATTCCCGTGCAGCAGCAGGTTATAAGCTCCTCCCCGAGAAGCACCAGAATCTCGCTGGCACTTGCCTCGTCCATCTTGAGGAGCAGCTCCTGGATGTCGGCCAAGTAATCATAGTTGGCACAGCTCTTGAAGGTCTGAGGGTCCAGTTTTCTAGAGAAGAATGAACCCTAGTATCAGTGATCCATTTCTGGAAGGGAATGCACTCACAGCTTGTGTATGTTGGGCCAGTTCTGGCGATACTTGGCTATCAGGGAGGTGACGGCCGTGTTGAGATCCTCGTTCGACGGCGCCGTCAGCAGCTGGATGGCCATTTGCAGGTGCGTGAGGGTCAGAGCGTCGTCCGAGAGCTCCTCATCCTCCAGGGCCCAATGGGCGCCAGGCTCGGCGATAACCGAGGGCTGGCGTGTTAGCGAGTCCGCTCGCCGGAAGAAGGGACACGCCATGTCGCGTGCTGCTGCCTCTTCTACTCGATCTATTTTGGGAATATATGTATGTAGAAGAGGTTCTTAGTTGGGACAATTCAATTATTGGCAAACAATTTTATTATTAACAAATAATAATTTCAAGGAAGTGAAAGTGGCTTTCAATTAAACTACTTTAACTTGGGGTATTTTTATATTAATGCGAACAAGGAAAAAATCTAACTTGGGGAACCCGATTTTATATACCCCTGTATAGAAAATCGGTCATAATTCACTCAAAAATGAATTAATTTCAAAACGGAAAGCTTTTTTGTACTTCTCTTCATTAGGTTTGGAAAACTGCAAACTCAATTCAAGAATATATATGATTTTTAGGGTCGGAAACTAAAATTAGAATACCCTGCAAGTGTATATAAATAAACTTTATGACCAATTTGAACTCATGATTAAGTAATTACTTTCGCTCATTGTATTAAGGTTGTAATTGATTGATTTTTACATCAAGAGATTATTTTTAGGTCACCTAAAGATAAAGTGTATATAGTACAGCTTTATTGCATAATTCTTGACCTCCATAAAATGTCACATCAACGTCTTAACTTCAAATCAACATAATCCTATCCAAGTACATTTCAATCTATAAACGATTTTCTAATTTAAGTGCAACCCAGTTTGAGGTGGGCGTTCCTTGGAGATTCTGCCATCGATTTAGGGCGGAAAATATATATTTTCTCAAGTTCAACGTGCACTTGTGCGAGGGGGAGGCTTTGTGGGAGGATTGGGAGGATGTCTCTGGTACGTGAGCCCACGTCCACGTCCATTTCCATTTCCATGTCCCTGCAGTATCTCGAGTGTGTGCGTCATGTCCCCCTGTCCTGGCTCTTGGCTGGCTTTCCTTGGAGGTCAAGTGTGTGTGCCAGTCAGCCTTTCTTGGCAAGGCTCGTGCACTCTTTCCTTTTTGTGGTCCTGGGCATTACCATAATTTTACTTTGCATAATTTATGGCATTTATGAGGTGTACACCGTTGGCCACAACAACAGCTGGTGGGTGCTTCGACGCCTTATGTGTGTCACTCTGGTCACTGGCTTTAATTTTTAGCACTTCGCCTCCTTGGCCTCTACAGAAGTGTGTATATTTGCTTACAGGAAGCCCTTGCATGGGGTCCAAGGGATACACAATTTTCCGCTCTCTGCCACAAGGTTTTCCCCCTTAGGGGAGGTCTTTCCATACATTTCTACATCTTTGTTGAGCATACTTTCAGGCTCAAGACCTGCACTTACCGAGGTTTTAGAATATTTTATTTATATTTTGCACTTTTCTGATCTTAAATTTCTGTGGAAATTCTGCGCGACAATTGAGGAATTTTTCCGCACGCCTGAAAAATGCCACAACTCGTAAGGGAATGAACTTTTTGGCCAAAATAAGCTGTCGAAAAAGTTTTTAGTCCAACGAAAGCTTCTCCAGAGTGAAAGCTTCGCGCGAAGTGAAAGTGTGTGCAGAGATTGTTGCTTTGTTTTGGAAAAGATACAGAGAGAGGGCGAGACACTGCGCATGTGTATCTTTGGGATTGAGTTTCGTGAGATACTTCTAGTTCTCAGTCTCTCAATTAACCTGTTGCGTGAGCAAAGCTCTCAGCTCTCTGTGATAATAACAAAAGGTGAAAAAATAATCAATCTGCCCCTCCTGTGTATCTGTGTATCTGCAGAATGCTGCACACACATGCTGCACACCACATGTCCGGCCGATTGAGTTCTCTCCGGAAAGCGGAGGAAACACAGAAACTTTTGTCCAGCGAATCGAAAATTTATACGCTACGCTTCAGTTTTCAGTTTATTGACGTTGCTCGTGCCGCTCGCAACGTGTTCTTTTCCACCTAATTATTATTAAGTATTATTAGCATTGTTTTCTTTACCAGCTTTTCCATTCAACATTCGCGGGGTGGCGGCCAGTTTTTGTTTATTTTCGATTCCGCGCTCGTATCGTTTGTCATAGAGAATATATACATATACACATATATAAATATATATACGGTATCGGAATCGTGTGAAAGTGCAGCTTGGACAGACTTTTAACCAGACTTAATAGTTGTAATTTGCACTAATTACCTGCCGCAATGAACGATTTCGGGCAATTCGTAAGTGATTCCGGAGGTTAAGTCTGTCTTTAAAATTTCAACCTTTGCTCCCTCAACAAAAAAGCAACGAACAAATAAAGATATTTATATATATTTCACGAGTAATATAAGTAAACAAATTTCAGAGCAGATAAAAGCAGTAAAGTGTCTTGATACATAAGCTGGGATTTTGTTTACTAATTATTATAATTATTTCAAATACCTTTGAAGGAGTTTATTTCTTAATTATATAAATATTTATTATTATATGAATAAAGTGTTCTGAACAATGTCCTTGTGTAAATACAAATTAGTTAAATATATAAATATATATATATATATATATATATATAAATTATACGTTTGCTCCAATAACTTGTTTAAATTAAATTTAATGAAATGTTTGCTGATGCCTGTTCATTTCCACACTTGTTATGTGAAGCCTTGTTTTGTTATTTGCATTTATATTGCAAAGAAAAGGCAAATAATAGGAATTTCTTTTTCTCCCTTAAATATTAATTCGCAAGTATTTAAATATATATTGTTCAAGTTATGGTAATAGAGCTTTTCAAAAGATAACCCCTCTCTGGGCTGCGGATGCTTTATCTAACCGATGAAAGTTGATCTATAAAAGGAATGTAAAGCTTCGTCCTTGACCTTGCACACAATGCCTCTCCGTCATCCTGCCTTCCATCTCTCTGCATTCCTCCGAAAGCTCCTGCACCGAAAGCGAAAGTTGCACCCACATACCCCCTTCACCTTCTACTTATGCATAATAACCCACCCCTAGGACTAAGGCCATTGCTAATGGCATGCAAATTAACATCTTCCATAAACCATAAACCATAAATGTTTGACGAGGGACAAGGCAAGGCAAAGGCAAGCTAAAACTTTAATCTAATCTAAACCGCAAAACGTTCGATTTTCTTAATCGGTGGTGTGCTTGGGTGTATTTTGGACCCATCGTGGTTATGGCCAAGATTAGAGATAATCGCTATGCTATTTCTTGACCCAAGCAACCTGTGGTATCTCTAGAGATTGTACATTTATAAAACAATGTTTATATTATTTATTATTAGCATACATTTATATATCTCTTAAAGGCTAGGACACAGGCTCCCAAATTGTTACCCTTTCTGGGTACCCTCATCCTGTACTTCTCGCTGGTGCGCCGGGATCCCCAGGGTGAGCTATGGACCACTGTGCTGAAGTGTCTGCCCATCGTGGCCCTGATGTTCTATGTGGTGGCCAAGGGCTTTTCCCTCAAGAAGGAGTAGGATCCTTTTACGCTGAAGGCAACCATAATACTCAAAGTTGTCCAAATCATTTTAGATACCGCCGATCCCTTTGGATTCTGCTGGGCCTGATCTTCTCCTGCGGCGGTGATGCTTTGCTCAATGTGAATCTGTTTCCCTTTGGCATGATATCCTTTGGGGTGGCACACGTCTTCTATGTCAGCGCCTTCGGCTGGAAGCCCGTCAAGTGGCTCATCGGATGTGGACTCTATGTGGTCGTTTCACTTTGTGAGTTTATAAATCAAGTTCACTTCTTTTTAAATTAGTTTTCTAGAAAGATTAAATCACTATTATTATACCTTATTGTGTCACTAAACCTGTAGTCAGACCTTGTAACGCTGCCAGGAGTCATTATTCTGACTACAACTACAACACCACTTTTTAAGCGGATATTTATCTATATTTTTTATGAAATTTTGTTTTACGAATCAAAGCTTAAACATCTCATAACTAAAATTTTCAAATTTGTGCCAAAATTCACATTTTAAATGGAGTATGCAGTTTTATTAACCTGCTAAAAACTAACATAAGAACGCGATTTGAAATTAAGGCTCTTTTGGCTTAGTTATGAGTTTTTTAAATTTCGATTTGTCGAACAAATTTGCATATAAAAATATAGTTAAAATCGATTAAAAAATGGTTTTGCGCTTTAGTCAGAAGCTTAAAAGAAAGTGAAGGAGTCATTTCCGACCCTATAAATAATTAGCAGTTTTATTAACCCACTAAAAATGAACAAAAGCACGCTTTCCGAATTAAAATTGAGGCTGTTTTGGCTTAGTTATGAGTTTTTTAAATTTCGATTTGTCGAACAAATTTGGATATAAAAATATAGTTAAAATCGATTAAAAAATGGTATTTCGCTTTAGTCAGAAGCTTAAAAGAAAGTGAAGGAGTCATTTCCGACCCTCTAAATCATATATATTCTTGATCAGCATCTATAGGCAAATCTTTCTGGCTATATTCTGCCGAAAAAGAATTTTTTCAGAAATTTCCGATTTTTGGTCAAAAAGGAAAGGGGTTACATCATTAAAATGGTCAAAAATCGGCCAAAATTCACATTTTAAATGGAGTATGCAGTTTTATTAACCTGCTAAAAACTAACATACGAACGCTTTCCGATTTGAAATTAAGGCCGCTTTGGCTTAGTTATGAGTTTTTTAAATTTCGATTTGTCGAACAAATTTGCATATAAAAATATAGTTAAAATCGATTAAAAAATGGTATTGCGCTTTAGTCAGAAGCTTAAAAGAAAGTGAAGGAGTCATTTCCGACCCTATAAATCATTAGCAGTTTTATTAACCTACTAAAAATGAACAAAAGAACGCTTTCCGAATTAAAATTGAGGCTGTTTTGGCTTAGTTTTGAGTTTTTTAAATTTCGATTTGTCGAACAAATTTGGATATAAAAATATAGTTAAAATCGATTAAAAAATGGTATTGCGCTTTAGTCAGAAGCTTAAAAGAAAGTGAAGGAGTCATTTCCGACCCTATAAGTCATTAGCAGTTTTATTAACCCACTAAAATGAACAAAAGAACGCTTTCCGAATTGAAATTAAGGCTGCTTTGGCTTAGTTATGCGTTTTTTAAATTTCGATTTGTCGAACAAATTTGCATTTAAAAATATAGTTAAAATCGATTAAAAAATGGTATTGCGCCTTCAGTCAGAAGCTTAAAAGAAAGTGAAGGAGTCATTTCCGACCCTATAAGTCATTAGCAGTTTTATTAACCCACTAAAAATGAACAAAAGCACGCTTTCCGAATTAAAATTGAGGCTGTTTTGGCTTAGTTTTGAGTTTTTTAAATTTCGATTTGTCGAACAAATTTGGATATAAAAATATAGTTAAAATCGATTAAAAAATGGTATTGCGCCTTCAGTCAGAAGCTTAAAAGAAAGTGAAGGAGTCATTTCCGACCCTATAAGTCATTAGCAGTTTTATTAACCCACTTAAAATGAACAAAAGCACGCTTTCCGAATTAAAATTGAGGCTGTTTTGGCTTAGTTTTGAGTTTTTTAAATTTCGATTTGTCGAACAAATTTGGATATAAAAATATAGTTAAAATCGATTAAAAAATGGTATTGCGCCTTCAGTCAGAAGCTTAAAAGAAAGTGAAGGAGTCATTTCCGACCCTATAAATCATTAGCAGTTTTATTAACCTACTAAAAATGAACAAAAGAACGCTTTCCGAATTAAAATTGAGGCTGTTTTGGCTTAGTTTTGAGTTTTTTAAATTTCGATTTGTCGAACAAATTTGGATATAAAAATATAGTTAAAATCGATTAAAAAATGGTATTGCGCTTTAGTCAGAAGCTTAAAAGAAAGTGAAGGAGTCATTTCCGACCCTATAAATCATATATACTCTTGATCAGCATCTACAGGCGAATCTTTCTGGCTATATTCTGCCGAAAAAGATTTTTTTCAGAAATTTCCGATTTTTGGCAAAAAAGGAAAGGGGTTACATCATTAAAATGGTCAAAAATCGGCAAAAATTCACATTTTAAATGGAGTATGCAGTTTTATTAACCTGGCCGTTTTGGCTTAGTTATGAGTTTTTTAAATTTCGATTTGTCGAACAAATTTGCATATAAAAATATAGTTAAAATCGATTAAAAAATGGTATTGCGCTTTAGTCAGAAGCTTAAAAGAAAGTGAAGGAGTCATTTCCGACCCTATAAATCATTAGCAGTTTTATTAACCTACTAAAAATGAACAAAAGAACGCTTTCCGAATTGAAATTAAGGCTGTTTTGGTTTAGTTATGAGTTTTTTAAAATGAATTAAAAAACCTATTAAAAAATGGGATTGCGCCTTCAGTCAGAAGCTGAAAAGAGAGTAAAGGAGTCATTTCCGACCCTACAAATCATATATATTCTTGATCAGCATCTACAGGCGAATCTTTCTGGCTATATTCTGCCGAAAAAGAATTTTTTCAGAAATTTCCGATTTTTGGCAAAAAAGGAAAGGGGTTACATCATTAAAATGGTCAAAAATCGGCCAAAATTCACATTTTAAATGGAGTATGCAGTTTTATTAACCTGCTAAAAACTAACATACGAACGCTATCCGATTTGAAATTAAGGCCGTTTTGGCTTAGTTATGAGTTTTTTAAATTTCGGCTTGTCGAACAAATTTGCATATAAAAATATAGTTAAAATCGATTAAAAAATGGTATTGCGCCTTCAGTCAGAAGCTTAAAAGAAAGTGAAGGAGTCATTTCCGACCCTATAAATCATTAGCAGTTTTATTAACCTTCTAAAAATGAACAAAAGAACGCTTTCCGAATTGAAATTAAGGCTGTTTTGGCTTAGTTATGAGTTTTTTAAAATTAATTAAAAAACCTATTAAAAAATGGGATTGCGCCTTCAGTCAGAAGCTTAAAAGAGAGTGAAGGAGTCATTTCCGACCCTACAAATCATATATATTCTTGATCAGCATCTACAGGCGAATCTTTCTGGCTATATTCTGCCGAAAAAGAATTTTTTCAGAAATTTCCGATTTTTGGCAAAAAAGGAAAGGGGTTACATCATTAAAATGGTCAAAAATCGGCCAAAATTCACATTTTAAATGGAGTATGCAGTTTTATTAACCTGCTAAAAACTAACATACGAACGCTTTCCGATTTGAAATTAAGGCCGTTTTGGCTTAGTTATGAGTTTTTTAAATTTCGATTTGTCGAACAAATTTGCATATAAAATATAGTTAAAATATATTAAAAAATGGTTTTGCGCTTTAGTCAGAAGCTTAAAAGAAAGTGAAGGAGTCATTTCCGACCCTATAAATCATTAGCAGTTTTATTAACCTACTAAAATGAACAAAAGAACGCTTTCCGAATTGAAATTAAGGCTGTTTTGGCTTAGTTATGAGTTTTTTAAAATTAATTAAAAAACCTATTAAAAAATGGGATTGCGCCTTCAGTCAGAAGCTTAAAGAGAGTGAAGGAGTCATTTCCGACCCTACAAATCATATATATTCTTGATCAGCATCTACAGGCAAATCTTTCTGGCTATATTCTGCCGAAAAAGAATTTTTTCAGAAATTTCCGATTTTTGGCAAAAAAGGAAAGGGTTACATCATTAAAATGGTCAAAAATCGGCCAAAATTCACATTTTAAATGGAGTATGCAGTTTTATTAACCTGCTAAAAACTAACATACGAACGCTTTCCGATTTGAAATTAAGGCCGTTTTGGCTTAGTTATGAGTTTTTTAAATTTCGATTTGTCGAACAAATTTGCATATAAAAATATAGTTAAAATATATTAAAAAATGGTTTTGCGCTTTAGTCAGAAGCTTAAAAGAAAGTGAAGGAGTCATTTCCGACCCTATAAATCATTAGCAGTTTTATTAACCTACTAAAAATGAACAAAAGAACGCTTTCCGAATTGAAATTAAGGCTGTTTTGGCTTAGTTATGAGTTTTTTAAAATTAATTAAAAAACCTATTAAAAATGGGATTGCGCCTTCAGTCAGAAGCTTAAAAGAGAGTGAAGGAGTCATTTCCGACCCTACAAATCATATATATTCTTGATCAGCATCTACAGGCGAATCTTTCTGGCTATATTCTGCCGAAAAAGAATTTTTTCAGAAATTTCCGATTTTTGGCAAAAAAGGAAAGGGGTTACATCATTAAAATGGTCAAAAATCGGCCAAAATTCACATTTTAAATGGAGTATGCAGTTTTATTAACCTGCTAAAAACTAACATACGAACGCTTTCCGATTTGAAATTAAGGCCGCTTTGGCTTAGTTATGAGTTTTTTAAATTTCGGCTTGTCGAACAAATTTGCATATAAAAATATAGTTAAAATCGATTAAAAAATGGTATTGCGCCTTCAGTCAGAAGCTTAAAAGAAAGTGAAGGAGTCATTTCCGACCCTATAAATCATTAGCAGTTTTATTAACCTACTAAAAATGAACAAAAGAACGCTTTCCGAATTAAAATTGAGGCTGTTTTGGCTTAGTTTTGAGTTTTTTAAATTTCGATTTGTCGAACAAATTTGGATATAAAAATATAGTTAAAATCGATTAAAAAATGGTATTGCGCCTTCAGTCAGAAGCTTAAAAGAAAGTGAAGGAGTCATTTCCGACCCTATAAATCATTAGCAGTTTTATTAACCTACTAAAAATGAACAAAAGAACGCTTTCCGAATTAAAATTGAGGCTGTTTTGGCTTAGTTTTGAGTTTTTTAAATTTCGATTTGTCGAACAAATTTGGATATAAAAATATAGTTAAAA